GGGAAGGAGAGGACTGTCCCTGGGCCTCAGATACTGAGGAAGGGGAGGAATTTCAGGTAGCGGAGCAGAAATAGGGCATTTCGGGAAAGGAACAGAGCATTGGTGCGCCCGGGGTGAGGGGAACTAAAACGTCAGGTGCCTGGGACAATGAGGTCACCCTTCCCAGGAGCAGGGGCAGGATGGTAAAGCTGACCCAGGACAGGATAAGCTTATCTGCAGCAATCTGTGGCTGTCTCTCTCTCTCTGAGAGAGAGGGGTTACAATTGCACTGTCACCTCGTGACTTCACCAAGCCGAATGCAGGAAGAGTTTTCTGCGTTGCCAAAGGGGTTGCAAAGAATCTAGTGTTTCCTATTCGGTGAGGGCTGGTGTTGGAAAAAAAAAAACACAAAAAAAAACAGGGGCATCTTTCTGATTATTTCTCCCCCTTTGGCAATTTAGGGGACAGGACATGGGTGATGTCATAGTTTTGGTGGATGATGAAGAGGAGGAAGAGGTGGCAGAGGAGGAAGAGGAGCCGGAGGAAGAAGAGGAAGCCAGTGAAGGCGAGGAGTGGCCAAAAGAAATACACAAGCACGGCCACATCCACAGGGTGACTGCGCTGGTGAACGGGAACGTAGACTGGATGGCCAGCGGGCTCCAGGCTCTGCAGGGTAAGCCCTTGTTTCTTAGAAGCACCCCCACTAGGTTGCCGTGAGCTTCCCGGTAGAAAGCCTCTAAGTGGTTTTTGTTTTTGTTTTTAATGTATTTTAATTGATTTCAGAGAGAGGAAGGGAGAGGGAGAGAGAGAGAGAAACATCAATGATGAGAGAGTCATTGATCGGTTGCCCCCTGCACGCCCCCACTGGGGATCGAGCCCTCAGCCTGGGCATGGGCCCTGACCGGGAATCAAACCCCGATTGCCTGGATCCTAGGTTGATGCTCAACTGCTGAGCCACGCCCGGCCGGGCTAAGTGGTTTTTTAAAGGCTGGAGAAGATAAAGTTTAACTGGGAAGCTGAGAATCTGTTACCCACAGGGCAGTTGACAAACATTCACCAAGGGCCTGCTCTGGGAAAGGCACTGCTGGACAGCAGGAAGGACAGACCAGGGATACCTGCATGCAGGGAGCTTTACGAGACCAGCCAGATGAACAGGCTAAGATGTGGGGAAACTGAAAACGGAGGCAAGATGGAACTTGGGTGGGAGGGGAGCTGTCGCAGGAGGAATTTGATTAATCGCCTGGTGAATGGTGTGTTTAAAAATGACAGGACCTCAGGAGAAAGACGAGAGCTTTGAGGGGGGTGCCTTGGTCAGGAGAAGCTTAATGGGATTAGTGGGACATGAGGCAAGTCTTCCAGGACGGTCAAGTTTGAATAAGCCAGGAGAGGGGACGTTCCAGGGGAGGGGAGTGGCACCAGCCACGGGCATGGAGGGTGGACAGGGTCAAGCACGTCTAGAGGATTCTGAGCGGAAAGAGCAGCTGAGAGGGGGGCACACCCCCTGCCTCACCTGCTCCTCCATGAAATCGATCCTGAGGCTTACCCGTCAAGGACTAGAAATCAAGATGATTGGAGACGGGTGGAAACAGGGTCACCTCAACTGACATCACTGAGAATTGGATCTCCTTTTCCCTCCTGTACAGATGACAGCAGTGAGCAGCCGAGTGACATCGTTCAAGAAGCAGACAGGCCAGTTTGAAAAGGAGGGCTGTCCGTGATCCTGTCTGAAGAGCTTGGGAAGCTACATCCAGGATGAGCTTTTCATTTCGCTTTGACTTGACTTGACTTGCACCCCTGCCGGGAGGGCTTAACACGGTTTGGGGCTGTCAGCAAACACACACGCGCACGCGCGCGCACACACACACACACACACACTTCCATTTTTTTAAAATATTGGTTTTATTTGCTGTAACTCTTCTTGATGATGTTAAAAGGCTTTGGGAACAGGCAGTGTGTGGGGGAAGAGCTGCCTTTGGCATCTGAGGTGCCCTTTTCGCTGTGACTCCTGGCTTTACCCAGGTTGACTGATGCTGATTTTGGGGGGAGCAGAAGTGGGTGGAGGCACTTGGCCTCAGTGCCCTTTGCCACTGTTAAAGGTCTGTAACCAACTTACCTCAGCACACAAGGGTCTAGTGCGGGGTGATAGGGACACTTCCTATCACTGCCCAGGTGAGCCAAGGAACCAGGTAAATGTCAGCTCACTGGAAAAGGTGGGGTGTCAGCTACTGATGCTACCCAGAGGGAGGCAGTGTGGTTCAGGTGTTTGGAGTCAGAAACACCCAGGCTTGATTCTGGGCCCTGCTACTGACTTGTTTCATGGGCTTGGGCAGGTTGCTTTACCTCTCCCCTGGGCCTCAATTTTCTCATCTATAAAATAGGTGAAATCACACCTACCTTACAGGGGTATGGTGAGGACTTTGGGATGGGAAAGGGCCTAGGAGGTGCTCAAGAGAAGTTCATTACCTTCTCCTTTGCCTTCCCTAGTGGAAGAAAAACAGCTGTAAGTTGCCAGCTGCTGCCTGGACCCTTCTTTGTAGAATGGTTTCAGACGAGGGCATTATCAGAGCTCTCCTGACGATTTTTTGCTTCCCTGGAAATGTAATTCTTTTCGAAAGAGGTAGGGGCCCATAAGAGAAAGTGCCTTTCATTAAAACCTCACATTTTGCAAAGCTTCGTATTTATACAAAAGCCTCTTACATAATACACTATTAGCTTTCAGCCTTTCCCATTCTTTCTCCTGTGACTTTGAGAGAAGGCAGGAGAAATGTTTTGTAAGGGAGTATCTGGTGAGAAGTACTCCTTGGGCATACCAGTTCACCTGGCCTCGGTTTCCCCATCTCTGAAATGGGAATGGGAAAACTTGTTTCCTTCCTCTCTTTAAGGATGTTATGAAGATACACTGATCAATGATGCTAAGTTTCAAATGAAAATAACGTGATGAGTTTAAGCTGCTAATGCTTCCAGTAGAAACTGTACAGTTTAGAGATATTTCCCCCCTGATTTTATTCAAATCTCTTAAATGTCAGGGGCCTTATAAAGGTGCAAAGGGTATGTGCTAAGCCTAAAAATCTGACTTGAATTTGCATTCTTTAATGTTGCACATTCTGCTCTGCTGGGCAAGACCTAGAGCTTAAAGGGGAACTTCCCTTCTTCAAGTAACAGGGACTGGGACTCCTAGGATGAGGCACTGGGTTATCTGCAGGGTTGCCCTGCAGGTGTCCTTGGGCTTGGTCTGTTTGTTTGATTCAAGGGGCTAAACTGAGCAAGTCACTAGAAGTGAGTCCCATCCCCAGCTCAGAACACTGGGGAGCTCAGGCGCGGGCTGCAAATCTGTACCCCTCAGGAACAGCTGTGAACTGCACTGTCGTTGTTGGGCTGGGTCTTTTGCCGCGTGGTACCTCGTGTATGTAACCACTCTAACCAGTCTAAGTTAGCGTCATCTACAGAACAGGCTACTCAGACAGGTTGCTTTTCCTTTAGAATCTCCGATGAATTCCATTCCTGAATCTGAGTGTCTACTATGCAGAGGCAACAATATTTTTTACAAAGAAACTGTAGGAAGAAATTCCCTAGCTGGGAAGACAGGATGATTCAAGATCACTGAGGTGTTCCTGCAATTTCCTCTTCTCTTGCACATACCCGATAGGTAGGAAATCTTTGAGGCAGAGTTTTTCCACTAGCAAATGGGAGCTTCAAGGTCTTGGTGCCAAACACTATAAACCCTTGACTAGTTGAGCTGTGACCACTGTCACTTATGTCTCAGCACTGTGTACACATTAATATGATGGGGTCAGTTAAGACCCCAGGTACCGGGGGAGGGGGGGTTCAAGTTTTAAGGATTTTTAAAGAATTAGGGCTTTTTTTTCTTTTAAGATGACCCATCCCCAAATCCACAAGGCTGTTGACAATGGGTTACAGACTGTGTGGCAAAGTCCAGGTTGTTACATTATGCTTTACATACATTCTTATCTGAATGTATTGTGAACTCACAGGCCAGATCTCCTTATCAGAACCAGGAAGATAAATATTTCAGGGCTTTCACAACCGACACTTCCTTTTTTCTCAAAACCTGGTGGACACTGGGGAAAGGGCTCCCGCAATTTTGTAGCTTTGATATTAGCTCCAATTCTCACAAGCACATACGGGCCCTATTACTGCAGCAGGAAAACACATGATGGAAAATTTCCATAACCCATGCACTGAAACCTGGAAAATCCTCCTTGCTGGTTAAAAGTTACGATGATGCAATAAGTGCCAACTGGTATTTCTCACCATGGGGCTGGCCAGGACCTGCTGCAAAGAGAAACAAGCAGATCCTCTGCATTATTTACGTTGTAATATTTGATGTGAGAGGTGGGTTTGGAGAAATTCATTCTGAGGTTACAATGGATTTTTTTTTTTAAAGAAAAAAGATTATGGAATAAAGTTATTTTTAAATAAAAGCTTTAATGTGTTTGATTGAGACCTGACTAGTTAAACAGAAAGATCTGGGGAAATACCGGTTTACCTCCCCCAACTTTTTACCCGCTTTCCCACTATTGGTAACAATACTGTCCTCGCTGCCACATTCTTTCCCACGGCCTGTAGATACTACCCACCCTCAGAGCTGCCGAGACGCCTGCACTTTTTTTTTTTTTAATTGATTTCAGGGAGAGCGGGGGAGAGAGAAACATCAATGCGAGACATGGGTCGGCTGCCTCTCGCACGCCCCCTACCGGGGATCCAGCCCGCAAGCCTCTGCCGGGATTGGGAATCCAACGTGACCCCGATTCCCAGATCGGCGCCCCGCCACTGAGCCGCCCTGGCCCGGCGCCCCTCGCCTTTCTCAATCCCTGAGAAACTTGTTCCAGTTTTTTCCTCCCTACATACGCTTCTTTTTGCTCTGACCGCAGGCTTTCTAAAGGGCTAGGAGTCAGCAAGGGGCGCACAGAACTGTCCGGCGAGAGGATGTCTATCAGCCTTCCCGTCCCTGTTCTCGGTGGCTTTTCACCGGGCTCGGCTGACTCCCGACCCCGCAATGGCTCACCCTGATTCTCACCGGGCTCTCCCCGCAATGGCTCACCCTGATTCTCACCGGGCTCGGCTGACTGCCGTCCCCGCAAGGGCTCACCCTGATTCTCACCGGGCTCTCCCCGCAATGGCTCACCCTGATTCTCACCGGGCTCTCCCCGCAATGGCTCACCCTGATTCTCACCGGGCTCGGCTGACTGCCGTCCCCGCAAGGGCTCACCCTGATTCTCACCGGGCTCTCCCCGCAATGGCTCACCCTGATTCTCACCGGGCTCTGCTGACTGCTGACCCCGCAAGGGCTCACCCCACCCTCCCATCTGAGGTTGCCCAATTCCTTTCCCTTTCCCTGGTCTAGGCCTTTCCTCTTAGGCCTCCCCCACCTTTCTGTTTTATGTTATTATTTTATTTTATTTTTTAAAATTTTATTTGTTTTTATCTTATTTTATTTATTTATTATTTTATATTTTATATTTTATTTTAATTTTATTTTATTATTTTTTATTTTTCCC